ATTATAGGTCAATGCTTTCAAAATATGTTATTGTTCAAGTATCAAACGTACATTTAAACAAAGGGATTGGACAAAAGACAACACCTATGCAAATCCCTTTCCCATTCAAGATGGATTGATTAATCTGATAGCATATAATACATTTCTTGTAATTCATAGATCATTCATTGTTGCAGTGAGTCAGGGGAGGCAATACCCCCACTTTTTGAAATATCTTATTGTGTATGCATATATAATAAATAATTATCAATGAACCCTTGCAAGTTCACTACTGAAGATAATAATGTCAAATGGTGTACCACATTAATTAGTAATGGTAAAGAATCAAACAAATCTATAAAGTAAAATTCACTAACTCACTGAAACAAACTTGTTCTTTTTATATAAATAATAAGAACTATTGCCCCTTATTTTGCAATACATAGTAATTTAGTATACCATCTTATTACAAAGTCTGTAAATTTCTTGATTTTTTTTTCATAACAAAAGCATTAATAGAAAATATGAAAAAGATGCTAACACAATTGATTATTGTGTTTTGTGTTAGATTTGTCTTTAATTAAGACTTAATAGTGGTACACTGTGGTTTCAGACTAATTTTAAACAGTTATATTATTACATTAGATATTATAAAAATCTTCCAGTTTCTTAAATATTTTGTTGGACTTATGTAAATATCTCTGTGTTTTCATCAATACCTAAATCTGAGTAACCCTGCAGTAGGACATCAATATTGATATTGTTAAATATCCTCGGTTTTTTAAAGAGCTCATATCTCTGATAAATGTAAAATGGACAAACATAAAAGAAATGAAAATTATCTTCTATCGGGTCTCCACAGACACACACAGAGCTGTATAAATGATCACAGAAGAGGAAACGTTTAAGATCACTAGCCTAATTTCTCTTCTGGCAGTGAATTATATCAATTTTTCGTGAAACAGTGGAAAAGAAAACTGGACAAAGACTTATATCCTCATTCAGCTTTCTTTTGAATCCTATAAAGGTTATAATATTTTTACTTCTCACTGAAGTGAATTCCGCTTTTCAAGAGTTTGTGGGATAAAATTGTTTTTATAAGGCTGTGGTTCGACACTGAGGAGTTGTAAATTCCCTTCTATTTCTCAGACCATACTGGACTAGACACCAGCAGCAATGAAATTACGACTATCTCCAGAAATAGTTTTATAAAGAAACCATAATTTGTTTTTCTGTCGCATATTCTGGAGAGAATCCTAACCTAATTCCTTGTATAATTTCCTAGGTGTTCCCTTTCGCAGCCCAGACACAATTCTAGCAGCAGCTAGTTGTACAGACTCAATTAAATCTGGTTTTTCTTTTAAACATTTATCCCAAATTATGTTCCCATATTCCAAATTAGGTCTAATAAAGGCAATATAAAGTCTTTCTGAAGACTGTCTATTAATCTTATTTTTTGAATATCTCATAATATTAAGACGTCTGCAAGCTTTTGTATAAATTTCCTGTGTATGACTTGCCCATCTGGCATTCGATGATAGGATTATACCAAGATGTTTACATTCTGATAAATTTTCTAGAGGTGCATTATTCATGCATAATGATGTGACATGAACATAACTTTTTCACGAAAAGTATGTAGCTTTAGTTTTGTCTGCATTGGAGGTTACACCCCAATATCATGCCTACTGATCAATGACTCTAGATCTTGCCCTAAGGAATCAACTACTGATCTCTCATCGTCTACAGCACTATATAAACAAGTATCGTCTGCAAACAGTTTTATTTTGTTTGTAACTCATCTACATGTACTTTGTCATTTACAAACAACAAAAGAGAAAAACAGAAAAGGGCCAAGATGAACCTTTGAGGGACTTCTGTCTTAACAGTATTCAAATTTGAAAAATAACCATTTACTCAAACCCTTTGTTGTCTATCAGAAAGATAACTTTTGAACCAGTTAAGGAAATTACCCTTTATCCCCTTATTTCTTTATTTGTACAAAAGTTCCATGTGCTAAACGCGGTCAAATGCATTTGACACATCACAAAAAATAAATCGAACATCTTTCTCTTTGTCAAGATTTTTTACCTTCTCAGCATATAATATAAGTCGCTGATTTATAGTAGATTCCTTGTTACGGAACCTAGACTGTACCGCTGATCACTTAGTATTGCATGATCATGTATATAGTTGTGTACATACTTAAAAATAATTTTCTCAAATATTTTGCTAAAACATTTAGTAACGGAGATAGGCCTATAGTTTGAAACATTGTTGTAATCTCCTTTACCCTTGTTGATAGCTGATACATTTGCAAGTTTCCAATGTGAACTATTCCTGTTTGTAAGTTTCTCAATACCATACTTTTCACAGATTCTTGATATCCTACTAGTCGGACCTGCTTTAAGTTAATCTGCATATATGTTTAAATCACCAAGCAATATCATATTATCATCATTATCTATAACATTATCTAATAAATTTTCAAAATGGTCTAGTGATGTGATAGGTGCATTAGGAGGTCTATAAAAACATACAATTAAGAATCTACTAGTTTTTACACAAACTGACCCCCATTCAGGTATCTCTAAATCGCTGCGGCGTTTACAATGGAGACTATCTCTAACATAAACCAAAATTCCACACCCGCGGTCAGTTGACCTGTCTTTTCTAGATAATTCAGGATTATGAAAATTTGGCATTACTAAGTCAGTATTGCCAACATTAACATCCAGTGGTGTTTTTTTTTTCAGATGCACAGATCACATCACATTCACGTAATTCTGAATAATAAATCAGTTTTATAACGTAAGGAATTGACATTAGTAACAGTTATTTGAATGTTATGACAACAGTATCTTGATGAATCTGGTCCAGGATTTTGTTCAATGTCATTACTTTGTAGTAAGATTAAGACAATAATCAGACTAAAAATCAAGTTGGAGATATATACAGTTCTGATTCTAAACTTATTAACAATATGGACATTATAAGGCAGTTACAAAATTTCATTCATGATCATGAATAAATGAGTTTATACAGTTTAACATACTACAAATTATTTGGTTGATTGATTGATTGTTGGTGTTTTAACGCCACTTTTAGGCGCCACATTTGGGCTATTTTGTGGCGGTTAGTTTTTATATGTGGAGGAATTTGGAGTGCCCGGAGAAAAACAACAACCTTCGATAGGAAAACTGAGAATCCTAGTCAATTAAGATTGGAGTCGGGTGCACCCGCACGAGCTGGGTTCGAACTCACAACCTCAGTGTTGACTGGTTAGTGATTACAGTAGTAGAACTACTTAGACCACTTGGCCCCAAATTATTTGGATAATGCCCATTACCTGCGATACATTATACATACTGTTTAACAACATAAGTCTACAACCATAACCACTTTGTGCTGGTACTTGAATAGATAAAAACCAGCATTTATTAGTTCTCAACACAATTAAACATGATTGAAAGAAAAAGACAAAAGGGGGTTTTCTTACTGCGAACATATAGCAAACTTGTCGGGGGCTCTGCACGTTGGGTCATGTCTAGAGGTACATGCAGCTCAAGGATAATGAGGAATAGGATCGTTCTTTAAATTGCAGCATAAGAATATTATTGTGTATTAAGATCTTAAAGTCAATGCTACAGGCTAAGGATTCTGGTTTTGGACAGGTATGTGATGGGTTAATTAAAATTAAAAAATACTGAATCAATTATTTTAAAAGTGCATACAAAACGAAATCTAAAACAAAACACAAACGAGACAATTCAAAATGCAGCAATGCAGAAAATGATTCTGAAATGACACTCCCTACCGTGATGACTTACTCAAACATGTTAATTCACAGTAGGAAAACTGTGAATAGCATTTTTAAAGACATTGGATCACAGTGTACCATAAAACGAGCACTAGCATACCAGTAGTTCTACCCATATATAAGACTAATGTAATAACTGTTTCTGTTAGCTTTACCTGTTGTGGGCGATTTTTTTCTGCACAAATCAACAATAACCGACAATAGATTGTGTACTCTGGCTATGCTACAATATTGGTTGGATAGAACGTGTGGAGATTCTAAAGTGTTGGGATTCATCAGGTCACAAGAAAGATGTGCTAATCTTTGACAAATCAAAACACTAATCTACCAATATTCATTACAAAATACTTGAAAAGCTAAAAATAAAAGAAGAATTTATATCAATAATTCATATGCATGATCAGTTATGGAATGTCAAAGGCGGATACAAAAAGGGGTTAAAGGGCCAGCCCCTCCCCTAATGCCTGCTAATTTGTGTTTTACTGATTGATTGTTGCCGTTCAAGTTTGACTGAGGTATCGAAATATATGCATGGACTAAGGGATTTATAAATACCCAGTCACGTCGTGTCGTAATGGGGATGTTAATCCAATGCCTCGTAAAGAGAGAGAAAAAATATATCACTTTCTCTGCACGAAAAATGTATTCAAAGGATTCGCTGGTGGCATGTGTCAAAGCAACATGTTTGGCCTTATCGAAATTTACCACATTTTCCAGTTGCATTCGAAATCATCCCCATGCTTCATCAGGATCCAACAACTTTGTGGAACCAGCTGCTGTTCAAACTACTATTATATATCTCTGGTAAACTCTGTCAAATTTATTGTTTATTTAATCTCGTCCTGAATATGCAAGAAAAGCAAACAACAATCTTAACGTCCAGTGACAAATATCTAATGCATATTCAATACGAGAACAAATTAACAATAAGTCAAATAAATGTTCGACCGGGATGGAGGGTGGAAAATTTTACTGACACCGGAAAAGGGTAATTTGGATAGAAAAAAAAAAGATATGTGCTTTCAAACAGGCCACCGCATAGAGATAGTGCACAGGACTTTAAGCAACAATTCCGCAAATTTGATGGAGTACTCTCCTACAATGACAACGAGAAATTCCAGGAGATGACAACTGAACAAACTACAATATTAACCTTAATATAACGTTCATTTTTGCATAAAGGATTATTTTTCAAAAGACACTAAGTCAACATAATTTTATTTTTCAAATCATAATGACAAGTTTTTCCTTGTGAGATAAGATTTTGCATCTAATCACCAGTCGAAGCGCTATCGTTTATCTGGTACACTAAGAATCCAGAAAACGTGGTGTAGTCTTCGCCGTGTAAAGTTCCTTTACCTTGTGCTCCTGTTCGAATCCAAACATGTTTTCCTTTGTCAACCTATAAAAAGTAAAGAAAATATCTTCAAAGCATATTCGTGTTATGTCAAAACATACACGTCCATAGCAGGCAGAATGTAAATGAACTGAAAGAAGTGGAATCTTTACAGCAGAGAACATAAGAAATTTTTAATTACAATTTTGATACCGTACGGTGACCTAAAGTTGTTAACTTCTACGTCATTTGGTCTTTGTTGGAGAGTCGTCTCATTGGCAATCATACCACATCTTATTTTAAATTCAAATATATATGATTCGAACTAGAGTTGATCTATGAATATCTAGTGTAAATCATTAATACACCAATCAATCATTTACATGAATCCTAAAAAAAACCCGCAATATTTATTTTTTCAGCTTTTATTTGAACTGTATAAATGTATAATAAAAGTCACACTTACTAAGTACAGTGTAGATAAACTTCATACATATACTAGCTTAATAACCTTCATTAAAGCACATACCTTCAAAAGAATTGTTTGGGAGGAGCTACCATAATCGTCTTCATTCTGGTCACCTTTTGTGTCTGCATACGCCCACGCAAGTGGTTTACCTTCAAGTACTAATTCAGTGGACTGGTAGTCGGTAGCGTCAACGTTGTTTGTCCAAGAGAAACAATATAGTCCAGAAACTGGAGCAGTAAACATGCCATTTACATCGTTGTAGACGTCAGGGCTGGTTGAAGTGAATACCTAAAATGTTTAAGATATCTTATTTCAGCTTGTACATTTATTCTATTCATTAACATATAAACTGGAGTAGAAGACATACCAAGCTACTGTCTGGGTATATATAGCTAAGCATATGACATCCCTAAGTATAGCTTTTGATTATAATTGTAGATCTCCTCACCAATTGGCGGACGTTGTCAGGTTTTAATACGGCAAGTTGGTCGTCTTTAGAGAATGCCACGCTCCCCGCACGTTAAAGATCGCTTTTGTAAAAATTGAAGGAAAGTGCAATTATTAGCAACAATAAATGCTTGATTCTTCTAACATGCATATCTATTTATATGTGTCCCATTACAATACAATAACTTCCCCTATTTGAGTCTTAATGCCAAATGTGGATCAGGATCTGCTTACACTTCCGGAGCACCTGAGATCACCCCCGGTTTGGTGGGGTTTGTGTTGCTCAGTCTTGAGTTTTCTATGTTGTCTTTTGTGTACTGTTGTTTGTCTTTTGATCTTTTCTGCCATGGCTTTGTCAGTTTATTTTCGACTTATAAGTTTGAATGTCTCTTTGGTATCTTTAACTTAAGAACACATTAGGTGGAAAGGAAATTCCTATGCTGCTTATTTTCACTGTTTTAATCAACGAAGGCATTGAGAATCTAACACAAGCACATGACAACCTACATTCACTATTCAAACTCAATCCAAAGTAAGTGTTTAAATATATTATTGTTCGCCAGATTACTGTGTGAATTATACTTGGAATTGCTGCGGCAAATTTAAGAATATATCTGGACATGCTTTCTGTATTAATAGATTAAGATTTTTAGTAAGTTTTCAGGAACAAATCTCAACATACATATCAGGACATGTTAATGTAATATAAGAATGAATCCTACTTTGTACTAGACCAACACGCTGAGCTAGATTTTCAACGTGCTAGCTCATAAGGTAACAACAGTACGGAGGAAGAAATGTCAGTCGACCTTGAAACATTATACAGCTGTCCATTCACTGCTCTTATTCCTAAATTCCACGTGCATATAGCGGAAAAGCAGCTAATACCAATTTCAACTATTGGTATTTGTTTTGAACCAGCTGTGGATCGAACCCACGACCTCCCGTATTCGTCTGTAATATCGAGATTATTGAGTAACTTGTGTTTTTAACTACGTTTTAGTTTTCGTAAAGCTCTATACTTTTTTATTCCACTGATGAAGATGTAGCACAAAGAGAATTGAGTACTGTAATGTAAAAAAGAGGAAATAAGTACACAGACACTATTCAATTACAACTGAAAATGGTAATGTACTTGTCCAAAGTCTGGAACATCGTCAATCGTGAGTGTTTGTTATTAATATCTAAATCTATTTTTGTCTTTTAAGACATTTGATCGGTCATACAATGCCTAGACCCAATATTTTGAATCTGAAATACAGTATTGACAAGGTAGAAGATTAAGAGGCGATGTTATAGGATATGGAAAATTGACAAAAAAAATACGTCAGATCAAGACAAATTCTATGTTTTTAAAAGCTTTACTTTGCTGTTGTCAACTACTCTAAATATTGTCCACATCCTTGAAGTTATGTTTTTTTCCACATGAAACGTTTCGACTTTTCATATAAAAGAAGACTATTGAATATGTAACATCGATTTTCCGACCCCGGCCTATGATAGTAGGTTTGGCATTAATTTTTCTGGTTTGGCGTCCGTCTTATATTAGTTTAAATGTGTTTTACTTAAGTTGTGGTCACGTCAAGCTTAAACTAAGGGCACGTTGATTATGGTGTGACCTTTTAAAATTATATGTCAAACTAGTGTTTTGAACCCAATTTTATGGTTCACTAATTATTGAAGTATTGTGTAAACAGTAAAGTGTCCTGTAAACACAGATTCTTGCTTTAACTTTCAAAAAAAAATCACTTACGTCATCGAAGACAACGGCATGATGAGGATCCATAGCATGTACACTGTGTCTCAACGCAGCATAAAACGCCACCTGGGAAGAAGTGAATGCTCGTTTCTTTACTGAAAATATTGTCACAGTGTAACTATTCATCATATATATATTGATATATTTAAAACGATTTGTTTTTACGATATTAAATATGATATCTAAATATACTAGTCTTAGACTAGTAGTTTGGAAACAAATATTTTTAATGATTACTAGTAGTTTTATTTCAGGTCGTTTGCTGCTTATTCTTTTTCTGTCGATGATTATCCTTTGTTTTCCTTTTTTTGAAAATTTGGAGGTAGGTTTGAATGTCGTGATACTTATCTGTTATTCAAACGGTAAATCTATTAATTATTCCAGATTTGAAAATTTCAGAAGTTGTTTCTCGGAACAATACCAAGTTAGTCATAAGCGAGACATTGTCACAATCTTATCAGTAAATTTTGTCTTTTCACCCTTCCTCGACATCCCAGTTTTGTGTTTTTTGTGTTTAATATTTTGTTATTTGTCGTTTTCTAATTTGGCTGTTATGATCCCGTATGTCTTGTTTCAGTCACATATTTTGAAATATTTTGCTAAACATATTTATGTAATATTTGCCACTGGGTGGATTCAGGGAGATAGAGGGTGTAAGCCCCCCCCCCCCCCCTTTTTTCCCCCGCTTTGATTGACAAAATACATTTGTTTAGCAAAAAATCGTCAAAAATGTATTTCTTAATGTATAATGTTACCACCCCTTTTAAAACTCCTGGATCTGCGCCTCATTACAAACTGTACATGTAAAATAAGCCACTACACGTTCAGTAACCAGCAATCCATCACATGACAGGCATAAAATGAGGTGCTGAACAATAAACATTGAACCGCTGAAACCATATATGAAAATATAAATGTTATACGTACTCACCCGTACGCTCTGATTTTAAATTTTCGATTGTTTTCATCGCCTTGGACAATCTATCAGTAAGATCAAATTTTGTCTTTTCTGCATTTTTCAATCTTGACGCAAGATCTGTCACACGATCTCGGAGTTTCTGCACATCCAGCTTCAAAGTTACAAGCGAATCCTTCAACTCTCCTCTAACTTGTGTAAGAAATCCAGCCAAAGAAAATAAAACTGTTAAATACAAGTAAGTCTTCATTGGGATTATGAAAGCACACAAGCCGGTTTGAAAATTTGGTATATTTCAGTGGATCTTATCATTAAAATGTAGTACTGTAAGAGATAAGAGAAGTAAGGAGGTGTATGTCAAGAATCAAAGTTGAAACACAATTTATCAATCTGGAACGAATATTATATGTAAAACAAGAAGTGAGCTTAATCTCAAATCTAGAATGTAAAACAAGAAGTGAGCTTAATCTCAAATCTAGAATGTAAAACAAGAAGTGAGATTAATCTCAAATCTAGAATGTAAAACAAGAAGTGAGATAAATCTCAAATCTAGAATGTAAAACAAGAAGTGAGATTAATCTCAAATCTAGAATGTAAAACAAGAAGTGAGATAAATCTCAAATCTAGAATGTAAAACAAGAAGTGAGGTTAATCTCAAATCTAGAATGTAAAACAAGAAGTGAGGTTAATCTCAAATCTATAATGTAAAACAAGAAGTGAGATTAATCTCAAATCTAGAATGTAAAACAAGAAGTGAGATTAATATCAAATCTAGAATGTAAAACAAGCAGTGAGATAAATCTCAAATCTAGAATGTAAGAGCAAACGTATGAACACGATGTGAGTAAACACTTGAGGGATGGATATATGTCGTATTATATAACGGTGTGATGAAATTTCTGGTTGTCATTTATCGGTTTAACCAAGTCCAAACGTTGTTTTTTTTTATAAGATGAAGTTAAATAAATACATCTGAAAGCTTTACAACAAATGGCAGACCCATCTACTAGGTAAATGCTACCTGTAGGGGCCTCGGTTAATATTAAATTAATCTAAAGAAACCATTGCATATCTCAAAACTTGAATTTATCTATTAGTTCTAGCTACTTGTGGTTGATTAATTTCTACTGTCATGTATCACAGACATAATAAGACAGGAAAAAGGTCAAAATGAATATGAACTCCAAAAGGGACAAGTAACTTTAATTATATATAGCAAATTGGTAAAGCTCATTGATAGGCTAGGCAAACAACATGGGTTTACTAGAGTATTGCAATATAGTTATCACTGGACTTCTCCCGTCAGTAAAACCCATGCTAAAGAGGGGCGTCCATTAGGTTGATTCGGATGTATGAATACGCAGCCACGTCTGGTCGGAAATGGGGACTGATCGGAATGGGGACGTTAAATCCTATGCTTACTGTGAGAAGAGTACAATGCTCTCCCTTTAAACAACTTTTTCAGGGGTTCTTTTGGGTCCCTCCTTAAGAAATATTTCCTGCCCCTATCAAACTAACTCTTTTTTCAGGGACAGTCGAAATTCCTGTATGTCATCCCTGCCGATCCGCTAAGAAGAACTTTCATACTGGATTTATTGTAATTATTATGCATGGCATATTTGGCACTGGACGTAAAGCAAACAAAAATCAACCAATCAATCAATATCAATCGAAATATACAGATGTACTAAAATCAGAGATATTGATAAGAATCGAAAGTCTACAGTTAATGACAACATGAGAAAACACACGTATAAAAAACATAAAAGGACGAACAAAGTAGTTAGTGGATGCCAAGTAACGATTTAAGCATGCTTCAAGTGTTGTACTTGATTGCAGATCTGGTTTTGCTGACACTCTTGGGGTGAAGAGAATTTGGAATTTGAAAAACAGTTTTTTTTCGTAAAGGAAAATGTCCAGACTGCAATATACTCTCCGAAACGGTCAAAATTGAAAATATTTCATGTACAATAAAAAAAAACTTATTTCATCCAAGCATGTTTGTTTCCATTTACACCGAATTTGAACTTAAAAATCGAAAAACTTTATAAAAAAAGTCACAAATATCCATGTTAAAATTGTACAATCGAACTCTTCGTCATTTATTGAGTACTTTATTAAGGTTGTTAAACTCAATAAAATACGGATGGCAATTTCCGCCAGAATGGACTTATAGTGAATATTACTGCTTCAGAATTACCACCCTTCATTCTGGTCGACCCCTATTACCAGATTTACCTATTGTATTTATTGTTACTAGTTCTTATCCTGAACATGCTTGAAATATTTGCAACTGGACGTAAAACAAACAAATATCAATTAATATTAGTTCTTCCTTTAACTTCTCTTCTCTAACATCGTACATATGAGGAGTATTGGCATGTTGCTGTGACATATACAGCTATTAAAGAAATAAATAGTGGTGGACGTGTCCGTTTGGATCTGAGTATCTTTCATAGCAAAAACCATACTGATTTTATACAATAATCCATTGTACATTTTGGTTCTGCAATTATTTATTTCCCGCGAAAAAGTCTCTTGAACAAGTTATACCGTAGGAGATTTTGGTTTCCCAGGAGAAGCTACTATTCACATTGCTGGTCGGTTACTGCTCATGTGAGAGATCTTTTTTTTTCCTTCGACGTTTAAAGATATGTCGCAGTTCACAATGACCAAAGACAGATTATGTGGTTAAGCCATGCTTCACGTCCATCGTACGGACAATATCGGGAAAGTGAACGCAGAAGCTGTTCTCAAAAGATGGGATCGTAGCGACATAAGAAAGGTCGAATTAGCATTCACATACAGTGACTATCATGACTATAGGTTCCACTCTTTGGGATTTATTAAAATATTATTGAAATTTGTGTTATTTTTAATGAAGCGTTGACCACACACACTTGTCCCGCTTTTTCTACTATCAAACATGTATCCTACTGTAAATGGATACATGTTTGATAGTACAAAATTCGAGGCAATTATCTGTCAGCCGGCTTTGATAGCCTAATGCAGTTCTTCATACGGTAAATATGAAACAAACGGATGTATCAAATTTTATTTCGGACCCTAATATTACAATTTTTGGCCGGGGGACTTCGCAACCCTGGACCCCTGTTAACCTGGGGGCCTCAGTCGGCGTCCCCTAAACCCCTGTCTCGTCTGTTTCCGATGCCTAGTTAAGGCCCTGCATGATGATGATGATGTACATACAGAATGTGGCGGGGTTAAACTAGTTTGTTGGCGCCAACCCGCCCCCTAACCTGGGACAATGGTTCAACGACACAACACAAGAAAAAACTGTACAAACAATAAATTATAAACAAATATGAGAAACAACATTAAACAAACACCGAATTACAGGCTCCTGACTTGGGACAGGCACATATAGAATGTGGCGGGGTTAAACTAGTTTGATGGCGCACCAACCCTCCGCATAACCTGGGACAGTGGTGTAACAGTACAGCATAAGAACGAACTATAAAAATCAGTTGCAAAGGGCTTAACTCATCAGATCGATCCAAAGCAGAAATACATCTAACAAAAACATACAGTGGACGTGGCAGGGTACTTATACATCCCGACAACAAAGAGACACTAAGTACAGATCTGTGAGTACTTGTAGTTTCTGTCGGCTATTTCAAAGCCAATAACAACTACTAGTAATAAAAGTATGTATGGGGTAGAATAACCTTAGTGTTGTGAATGATCCAACATTTTATAAGTATTATAAGGAATATGCACTGTAGCAGTGTTTGGGAATTAAAAACATGAAGTGAATAAAAACTATAGCCTAAGTGAATAAATGAAAAAGACAATTTTATGGGATATCAAACAAGTTGTCGATAGAATTAATAGAATAATGTTACAATTCAAAAATAATTAAGTCTTCTATTCTTTCAGGCGTACAAGAAAGAAAAATCATGTTCTGTGCCAATTTATCTTGCAAATTCGTCTTAAAATGAATTTCATAATCTTCATGTTTGCATACATACGATATTTAATTGATCTCTCTAATATGCATAGCAATCCTGCTGGAATAATTGTATTCTAATTATTCATATGTTACGTTAGGTAAATAGGATTAAAGCCATATGAAACAAAGTTGAATATGTGTTATTTACTCGAATGGCTAAGTTTTACTATAAAATAAGTGTACGTGAACTTTCTTGTAAAAAAATCCTTGATTTTATCAAAGTCTTCACGTAAACTAATTCGCCGATATTTTTCCGTATAGAACTTTGGCCACTGCACAGCGCAAGTGCAAGGGGAAACCCGTAATAAAAGAAAGTAAACGAACGTGCACTGGAAGGTAAATAGTAATCACTGATTCCCAAAGAATATACTTATTTAATACAACAAATCATTTAACAAACGTTAAGGAAAAGTTTAATTAACAAATGGGAATGCGTGGAAAATATAAAACACATATATCTTGGCTCTACCAATTCACTTATTTTCACCTGCTCTGTGTTGATTGTTTATCAATGTCACGATCCGGTAGACTTCGGCAACAAACTCGAAAGTTAATTAGCTTGCGATCAACAATCATCGAATGAAATATTTTTTGTCGATGATACGGTATAGATTCGTAATAAATACAAAAAAGTGCATACAGGAGTTAGTTTAGTATATATGCATGCATCGGTTCAATAATTTCGATAACATCAAAATTACAAGAACCTCGTTTCATATGACTTTAACACCTTGGGATGACTGTTGTAGCTGGAAATATTAAAGGTCACAATTAGGTCAAGGTTTTGCATTCGACGTTGTATAACTATACATATATTAATTTCAGATTATAAAAGCTTATTCTTTGTAGTATAGTAGGATCGTAAAGGCGTTGACGGTGTTACTTATTTTTGTATGATGCGTTTTTATTTTGAATAATAAACAAATGTGGACACAGATCAGTGGTGATAGCAATTGTTTAATTATTGTTAGTTTGTTTGACAGTGTTATCATCACCGAGTTTATGTATTGGTTGTGCCCCCACCAGATGTTTGTGATTTATTTCTTTGGCTTTATCATAGGGTTCTATGTTAAACTGTGTATTAAAATATGCAGATTTCTTCCTTTTAAATGGAAATTGTACTAAAATGAGACACTTTTAGAAAGGGAAAACAATTAAAAATGTAACATTTAAGCAAATCATGGATTGGATCGGGGTTCTTTGAGTTTACATTATTTGTATTTCTCTCCTTACTCTTGAGAAATCAGGAAGTGTTTTCCGATCTAAATGGTCCACCA